CATCCCTGTGCCTTCCACTGTTTCGGCGAACACATTTGGGACTAACAGGGTTTACTAGAATCCCACCACTCCACCACAGAGTCACCGCAGTAGACGTTAGATGAGCGCTGTCGCTCCGCGGCACTTGTTCAGTTAAAAAATTTAAGATTGCTTTTAAACATCTCAATATTCTTATTTCATTCACATCTAACAAGTTTTTTACTTTCCTGTCATTAATCAAGTTTATGCCCCATAAATCAATGCCAGCTTCACTACAATTATATATATTGCCAAATTGGAAGCTGAGCATAGTACACTAATACCATAGTATCGTTGGTATGCAGGCTTGTCAAAATCGTCTATCCAGCCATGAATTTCAGCCCATTGATTACATTACTATATGTAAGTATAGTTGAATAGTTGATTATGTAATTTTCTAATTTAAGGAGTGAGCAATTGTGTTTGCAGGGACTGCACTTGTGGGATCTGCAAGATCGTGTGCTAGTGCGCAAATTTCAGGGAGTCACCCAGGGATACTATGCCATCCATTCGTGCTTCGGTGGTGTCAACCAGGACTTTGTCGCGAGCGGCAGCGAAGGTGCGCCATCTATAATCAATCCTCATTCAATGCGAGCCTTCATAGAGTAAAAAGCAAAGGCATCTGAATGAAGTTGAACATTTATTTGCATATTGTAACTCCCACGAGCACAATAATGGCACCTGTCAAAATTCGAAATGGCCGCTTGCCTGTAGAGAATGGTCTATAAAGACCACTTTTCTCATTTTCCCATAGTGATTAGTATACAGTCAAACGTGTATATAAGGGTTCCTCAAGAAAAATCCAAGTGTCATTTATAGACAAATTTGTTTACTATAGAGGTGGATTCAGAGTATCACTTCCAGTCCAAGGAAACACCAATAGTGTCCTTATACAGAGAGATATCCACTCTATTCTTTACACGCTTTGGCTGAGTTTGTATTTGCTTTTTTTCAGATAATAAGGTGTACATCTGGCATATCAGGAGAGAGCAGCCGATAGCTGTGCTGCGTGGCCACCTACGATCGATAAACTGTGTCAGCTGGAATCCTGCGCTTCCCAGCATGCTCGTCAGCGTGTCCGACGACGCCACTATCAAGTTATGGGGACCAGCCGAAGAGCACCGCCAGAGAAAAGCACAAGCTAACGGCGCACCGTCGAGCGACTGACCAGTGCCGGATGCAAACTATAGGAAATTGATCATAAGCTTACCCCCTCTCTCCGTGTCAACTCAGTCTATAGGCCAGTCCTCGTCAGTGGTTAACGTGACCCTTCATTCTCACCTGCGCGAAGAAGAACATTAGGTGAACAGTACGGATGTCAATGAAACGTCACGATATTAAACCAACTCAGTGCTTTCGATGGCAACCAGTACGCAGTAACCATGTACACGCACCTTCGCAAATGCGTGGGGGCGGGCGTGCGTGTGTACGTGTCAGCAAATATAAGCTTGCAGTTATGGGCCATCTTGCTCGTGTGTCTAGCAGTTATTTCACGATGCATTGAATCTCAGTCTCTCCAGCTGCCAATGCCAATAGAGTTCGTCGTAATTGGCATGGGAGAGAGTGGAGAAAACAGAAAAGTGAATATGCTGAGGCACAGCAGCGTGACAAAATATGCATATGTGAGATAAATCTACCCTGTATTCAGTAAAGATGTTAGTATTTTAAACGAAACACATTTTCTATGTTTGGCCATTTGGTTTTGCAATGTAGATTGTTTGCAAGAGTGTTTTTGTGTTTGAGTTGTCATTATGCTGTGGTCACAGTGTTTATATATATATAAATATGACATAACGGCTTTACCCGATGAGCCCTCTTAGCAATTGGTGGAAAGCAAAACTCAATAGACTTTCAGCAAAATGAACTAAGACGTTCATGACCTGTTAGCGATTACCATTGTTATACTGAGTTCGCTTAAGGGCCGGACACACTAGGCGATTTAATCGGACGACTTTATCGCCCAATTCTATCGCGCGAGTCGAGTGGACACACTAGGCGATTGAGTCAGGCGACTGAAATAATCGCCCGATAATATCAAAACGTTTTAGGGCCGGACACACTAGGCTTTTACACGTGTGTGCATGAGTGCGTGGGTGCGTACGTGCGTGTGTGTACAGGTACACGTGCGTGCGTGCATGCATGTGCACGTAGACGTGCGTGCGTGCGTGCTGTAAAGTATGGTGGACGTGAGTGTGCGAGGCACGCGGCTGCGTGCCTTTGTGCGAGCGCATGTGGGTTGAGAAACAATATACTATTTACTGAACACAACTGCTTGGACTTTGGAGTTTCATTATTCATCGCTACAACTAATCTACATTGAAACGGGTAACGTCATCATCGTCGTTACAGTGCGTGCGTGCGTGTGCACGTACACCTGCGTGCATGCATGCGTGCGTGCGTGTGTATGTAAACGTGCGTGCGTGTGTGTGTGCGTGCGTGCGTGCACGTATTCGTGCGTGCGTGTGTGCGTGCGTGTGCACGTATACGTGCGTGCGTGCGTACACCTGCGTGCACGTGC